GATTATATTAATTTAAAATTTAAAAGTTAAAAATCTTTAAATTTCGCACAATGCGATGTAAATTTTTATAGTCAATCTCGCCGTAATGATAGTGAGACTGTATGTATCGTGATAAAGCATAGAAGATTCCGTACCTCGGCAAGTGTGCTGTAAAACGGACCTTATACGGACCTTATACGGATCCCGACGCAAAGTTCAGTCTCGAGCAAAAAGAACCGTTGCGTCGCACTGTATAATATATAATACGCGTTCGGTGCATCTTGCAAGCAGCACTCTCAGAAAATATCAACATTCAGTGTTTTAATGATAAAATGTAGTAACTCCTTGTTTTATGAGTAATTTTATATATACACATTTTATGTATACATACACTGAAAAAAGCAGTGTTTAATTTTAAGATATTAAAATGTTTTGTTCTTGTTTCCATTTTTTAAATACTAAAAACTAAAATATTTTAGTTTTAAACTTTTCAATAAACAAAACACTACGTGTTCAAATTGAAAAAAAAAACACTATATATTTTAAATTCAAAGAGTAGTGTTTTGTTTATGGAAAAAGTTGAAAACTAAAACATCTTTAAGTATTTCAAAAATGGAAACAAGAACAAAGCATTTTAATAAAAATAAACTTCTTAAAATTAAACTTCTTTTTATATTTTGTTTTATTTAATTTAAATACAGAAAATACAGAAAAAGTGATATTTAAGGGAAAAAAACTATTTAGAAACTTCATTTTTCATCTTTCCTTACAAAACATTAAAGATCAAAAATCAATCCTGCAAAATATTGCATTTTAATAATCAATCTTCAACGTTTATAACAATAATTTCTGTGTTTATTCGTGATAATGTAACATGTAGCATGACCAACGCATGATGTCGGACAGCATTTTACAAGACCGAAAATTATTCGCGTTATTTGAGTTAAAGCTTGGTCGGCGTATCATAGGTACAATTGGATGCGTAGGCAACGTCAAATGTTAAATCGTTCCATTAATCGTCACGATAGGAGACGATGTGACAAAATTACTCGCCCACGACTGAATTTCCTGTAAGACTGATGAAAACGTGCAGCTTAATCATAATTGCGGATTTAATAATAATCACGACGATTAAGCGAGCAAGCGAGAGAGGGAGAGAGAGAGAGAGAGAGAGAGAGAGAGAGAGAGAGAGAGAGAGAGAGATATGAAATAAGTTTAAATCCCGATAACTATTCGCAACGTTTGCTATTTTTAAAAGATTGGGAACGAATACGCAATCCAGACGATAATAATCAACTATTATCGGATATCAGTGACAATACAGATATGTGAAAAGACGAATATATAAAAATATTGTCAGTCAATGGAAAGAAAAGGAAACGTAATCATCGTCAACATTTATCTCCATCTCCATCATGCCATCATCTCTTGAAAGTTTATAAACCGCAGCTACGAATAAACCACAAAACGAACGAACAGGTGCATTAAATCAGTTGCCTGTTTATAGAGTTTACTAATAAACGTCTTAGCTGCAATCACAAGATTTCTCCCGTATTGACAGTATTTGTTATATTTTTATCGTGACGCGACATTAATAAATGTGAAAGTGGAAATATGCCATAATTAATCATGGAATATTGTGACAAATCATGTAATAATTATTACTAAAAAATTATTAAATTTTTAATTGTCACTTTGTCATTGTCATGTGTTATTGGCATATATATGTTTCATTATCAGTTTCATGTTTAAATTTTGCGATATAGAATAATTAAAAACTATCCGTTTTTCTAACAGAGACGTAACTTTGATTTTGACTTTAATCTTTTATATTTCTTTCATATTTGATTCTAAATCTATCATAATATTTTTAACATCAACAGAGATTTAAAATATATGTACTTAAATACGTTTCATCACCTTAGTTATGAATATATTACAGAAAGGGAACTTATTTAATAAAGTTGATATTATATTTATATTATAATTTCTATCACAATATACGTCTTCAAACAAATCTGCTGTTTGGAAATCATTAAAGTTTTGATTTTTGCAATTGCATGAATTACTATGTTAACAGTTTAAATTTATACCAGCTTTCGCGTCAACAATTGCTTTGTGGATTTCATATTACCGCGCAATAATGCGATTTCTGCGAAAATTATAGACTAGTCGTTAGAGAATTTCACGTTTCTATTTTTACGTTATTTACTGCCAGTCTCTAAATTATACTTGAAATGCTATCGAGTAGACCGGTATTCATAGTCGATTCTTTTTGAAACTATCTTAAGTACAGTCTTAAGACGTCACAAGTCAATCACAGAACAGTATTAGCAATTTATTAGACATTACTTTATTAGCATTAAGGCATTACTGAATTAGGTGCTACTTAAGACAATCTTGAAATACCAAAATATTAATTTAAAATTATAAATTATATGTTATTTATTATATGTTATTATATGTTATTTATTATATGTTATGTTTATTATAATTATAAATTATATATTAATTTTAAATATAAATTTAATTTTCAATAGTTTGTATATGAGTGCGTTCCGATACGCATGAAGCGCATGATGCATCATTTATTTTTGTTGTTCACCAAATAAAGAAAGGTAAAAGATATATCATGCATAATTCGGAACACACCTTATGACACTCGCTGTGATAGAGTTTCAAAAGAACTTTTGATATGCAATGCTTTAATAAAGAAATGAAAATTTCTTATTAAAGAAATTTTTCTTAGAGAGAGAATTTTAAAGTCTTATAAAATTTTAAATTTTGAAGGGAATATATGTATTTATATAGGCTCTGACACTGTGATTTTCTCAATTCTCGAATAAGAGAATAGGTATCAAATTCTTCGCATTCCAGACTGGTCTAAGAACGAAGCAATTTCTTCCTCTTTGAGAGAAGGTTAATCATAGAAGGGGAACGAACAAATTTTCTAAACCACGTCAATTTGCAGGTAGACGTAGAAATAGAATTCAAAAACCCTCTCGCCCGAGTTCTTGTTCCCCCGCGGGCTGTTCGTTAAATTGGTTTTAAGAGTTTAGGGTCAGCGGACGAAATCGAGCTGAGGAAGATTTGTCAAAGAAGGTAAAGCTTAGAAAAGAAAAATGTATTCTCGGAGAGACAGAGAGAGAGAGAGAGAGAGAGAGAGAGACAGGGAGGAACAGAGAATTATTCGTAAACCTTTGTATGAATGGAAGCTAAGTGATCTAGGATAAACGCATCAACTTTTTCAAATTATTCAATTCAAACTCGCAAAGTAACTCTTAAAAATAACTAAGAACGAGTAAAGGTAGAAGAGGTTCGTAAGAAATCCCTACTTCCGCTGTCATAGAGTTTCCCGTGTCAGTGTCCTGTAACGCTAGTGCGATGCAAGGTACGTAGATCAGCTCGAGAATCCTCTCATGATAGAGTCGATGGAACGATAAAACGGGGTACCCTGTTCGCCCACGTAGCATTTACACGCAAATTCTACGTACCTACATATTATATGTGAGCGTGATTTTGCGTGTGTGTAGAACGAACGAGCAGTAGAGACGCGCGAAGGATGCACACCGGTTTTTCACTGGATTATTACATTATTTGCAATCAAACGCGTATTAAATTTCATACGTAAATTGTACAACGTAGGCGATCAACACGATGACACTTTTCCATTGTTGTAATGTAACGTAAATGTCGATGCTCTTTGCGATTTGCATCCGAAACATTGTTCACCACATATTAATTAATATTTAACATCGATTTTCCTTAAACTCTTATAAACTAATATGTGCCCACACGATAGCAAAACGAAGCGACAATTGTTTTCACATGTTTGTAACTAGATTAGATCAAAGGAATTTCACACGTTTACGTATAAATTATTATTATTTAATCACACGTATTTCATCGATGTGTATTTTAGAAATAATATTAGAATGTAACGTGTTACTTTTTTTTAGTAACATAGAAACGTCGAAATACCATATAGCATTTAGCTTACCAAAATGGCACGTTTAAATTCACGTTACTCCAGAGGCAGACACGGAGAGATACACGGAGGCAATGCATTCGCTCTCGCCTACGCACGTCGCGACACTCTTGTCTGCTCCCCAGAAAGTTCATTCATTCGCTCGTATCCTTCTTTCATTCAAAGTCTGATACACTTGAATCATGAAACCACATCGCGTCGGGGCGAGTACGAGGCTCGTAGATAACCATGCGCGCGTGCACGTGCTCATGTTATCGCTCTCAGAAATACATACGTGATGTGTGTACGCATTGTAGCTCGACCATAGTCTTACGTCTTACTTTGTGATTATTGTCTCGAGGGGAGTTCTCCCAATCTCTCTACGTTCTATCGCTCTTCCCTCCTCTCCCGGCAATTATTCGCTTATCTGTCCATTTCCTGTCTCGTCAAATAGCCCGAGATCAACGATACGGTCAAATCTTCCTTAAAGACTTCTCGTAGAATTTTAGTTGAGTTAAAACATAATGTTCTTACAAGATGACAATTAGAAAGGGACGATACATTTTTTAACTCTCTAGAGATTAATAGTATCTATTACAGAACGCAACACGAGACGTTTTAATCATTACGACGAGTCTCGTTCTTATTCCTACATGAAAATATTACAAAGGAAGCATATATGTTAATCGATTGTTTATTAAAGAAAGAAGACAGGCTCGATTATCGTTTTACATGCACTGCACATACGCTCATACACGAAATAAATATAATGTAATATATACATGTGTATGTTCATTTCCTTGTATTATAGTTGCTACAATTATAATTAGAATAAAAATGCTCGTATATATTTTCTTAAAAATTATGCAATGTCATGGCTTATTTCAAGCTATAATTAACTTTAAATTAACTTTAAATTAATATAATCAACAATAACGGATGAAGTGTCAATATATAAAAAAAAATTCACTGTGAATTTTTTTTTATATATTGACACTTCACCACTGATGGTTTTTAAATTTTCATTGTATCCGTTATTTGTTTAGTTGATTAATTTAAGATTGTATTTCTGCGTTTTAACACTGAGGAAGGCTTTGTAAGTCGAAACGTTTGTTGATTATATTAATTTAAAGTTAATTTAATTATAGCTCGAAATAAGCCATGACATATTGTTATACATAATTGTGCTACAATTATGTATAACAATATGTGTCACAACTGATCAGCTCGATGTCAACGTCATACTTGATCACTATGATTCTCTACTGCTATTTTTTTTCTTCCCCTTTTTTGAATTACAGGTATAATTAAACATCAAAATATGCGTAGACATATGAAAACATCTTGAGCCATTCATTTTAATTTGATCGGAACAATTAACAAGAATTGAAAAAACTGTAAAAAAATGACGATCATTTAAATTTTCGTCGAGTAAATTTTAATACGACATAAACTATTAAGTACGGTATTTGATTTACCAATTCGTAATCTTCTTTTCGCCGAGGTATCGTACGTGTCTAAGATCGAGATTTTCATGGGGAAAGATATGACCTCGTTGTTTTATATGCGCTCTTAGTACGTGCATGGCATATGTTTGCTACGTATCCTCTTGTTTAAAATAGCTCTTATTATTTTGTATGTTAATAAAATTCTTATTAAATAAAAATATATCAATATTATTAATAATAATAATATCATATACGTCCATATATGTCAATATTTAATAATAATGATACTTTTTTAATAATAAAAACACTTTTATATATATATATACGCGAAATATTGCATTTCCATAAACGGAATTGGACGAGGATCCATTCAGAATTACGTGTACATCGTACACCTACGTGTGCAATACCTACGTGTATTACGATTCCTTTGAGTTCAAATTCGGAAGTGGCGCACGTAGGTGCGCTGACTCAGACTCTCGCATATATTCGGATATCCTCGATTTCCAATTACATCCTGATGAATTGACTTGGTCAGTAATATTTAAATATACATCATTTCCCCCTCCCCTTCCCTAATTAAGGTACATATTGATTAATTTATTAATTCAGAATTATTTAAGTACATATTATGTGTAATATTGATTATCGCTGTCAAGTAACATTCGTTCTTTTCAAGACAATGCGAAATAACTATAAAAATTCCGACCGTAATATTTTTAATCATCTTGCTGTTCACTGATACGTTTCTACCAATCATATGTTTCTATTCGTTAAACAACGAACAAAGTATATCGTAGATAAAAACTACAAGACATTGAAAACTTTCTATATAATATAAGCTTTTATAAATTTTTTTAATAATCACCATTTTTGTAGACTTCTTCATTAACCAATGTCTCCTCGTCGTCGGTGTCGGGTCCAAGGGATACTGGAGTATACACGATGGAGTCTCTAGATCTCATATTTTCCCACTTCAATTGGACGAATCTCTTGTTTTATAGCACATTCGGTAACGAGCTGAAATGTAAAGTACAGTTATGAGTATACATAACTTGAAAGACCGGATTCTATTGAATCTATGAGCTTCAAAGCGCAATTTTCTTCCCTTTTCAAATGCGACATAAGGAATTTTAATCTTTTTTTAGAGAAATAAAAGCTTTAATCATGGCAAGGAATGCTCGTAAATACTTGGTACGCTTATGTATCGCAACGAGAGAATGTGCGTCCAAGTTTAAAGCAATAGCGGTACACATCGCAGTAAAATTTTAGACTCGCGTGACTACAGGATGACTCGAAACGCCAAATATAGCAAACGTAGGGATTTCCGCGACATTTTCTTCAAAATGGAGTCTCGTGTATTTAAATATCGATTAAATGACAACAATTATAATTACATTCGTCTAAATTAATAAACTGGATTATTTTGTACCAACTGATCATTCACTGCTCACATTTTAAGAATCATCGGGTTTTTATAAAGTCAAATTAAACAGGGTTGATAATATATTTTTTTTTTTTTTAAGAATAAGTCATTGTGTTTTTTTTAAACATATTTTTAATGCTTCATATACATACTTTAAATTGTATTATAAAAAACCATGTTTATATTAAAAATATATATTAAAAATATCGATTGAGCATATATTTTAAACAGTTTAAAACATGATTTTTATCCACTCTAAAATTAAACGTGACACCTGCCTGAAATGTGTGATTCAGCTACAAATTTATTTCAATTGCTTAAAAAATAAACATGGAGTGATATACAAATAAGTCAACTTGTCAATACCGTTATGCGGTATAACATCGTATCAATTAATTTCATCGCCCGGTTTTCAGCAGTAAAAATCTATAATAATAATAATAATAATAATAATAATTCTGCAAATTAATATTCCGCGAATATTATAATTCTACAGGATGAATTTGTACGATTTCATCGAATAGTAAATATTTCTTAAACAAATAGAAAATCAAAATAAAAATGTATATCTCTGGCGCCAGCGATTCATATGTTTCAAATTTTGCAAGATTGAGTTCGCTCATATTCATGCGTAAAAAATAAATACATGCGTATGACATTTCCAAGTTTCATAAAACTTGAACGCAATGCTCATCTTAGAGTTCGATAAAGATATAAAAGGTGAACAATAGTTATGGATAAAGAGTACGAGCAAAGAATATAAGATACATTTGATTACACCAACTCTTTAGTTTATTTGTTTTTCCTGATCTCTTCTAAATAATCGCACCGATTTTACACGTGGCACGCTCGACATGTGTGCACGTTACATCGTCCCTTGTACCAAAAATGTCTACCTTAGATGGAAGCGTCTGGTCTCGGTTTCAGTTTTCAGCTAGAATATCCCGATCTGCTACTCTTTTGCTCATCAAGAGACACCGAGAAATTTATTTAAAACAATATCGATATTCGCACACGTTATATTCGCACGAAAGAATCTCAATCTAATCGGATACTTATCCCCGTCAGTTTTATGCTTGTCAATTAACTTCTAATCTGAACTCTATTCTATCCTAATTTATTCTTCTTGTCGTGAAAAAAGATCAGTTGATTATATTAGGTCATTTAAAAAGTATCCGCGGTTTTTTGTTCAATTTTTGAATGAAAAAAACCGCGGATACTTTTTAAATGGCCCAATAATTAAGCAGGATCGATCATCCCATTTGGAAGCGACTACAGTGATACTGTTTCACATTTTTCTTCTCGAAGTCATTCATTCTCTCGCAAGTCTAGCGTTAATTTTAATCGATTGATTAACCCGCGATATCGCGAAGAATTGCGCGTGATATCGTTTGATGTAAATGTTTTTTTTAAATTTATTTTCGTAGCCCCATGGCAACCGGTTCCTCGCGAGGCCTGACTGCGTACATACGTGGTTCCTGCTTGGATTCAGGATACGTGGCAGTTATTTCGGGAGGCACGAACGCCGCCGTCTCGACGTACCGGTAGACGCCGCGCCGTCATTCTTCTGAGATTTTATCACCGAGGGAAATGCGTCGCGTCGCATTGATGCGTACCATCGGTCGATAGATTCTCGTACGTCTCGCGTGTCGCACGTATATATCCGTATGCAACTTGTTCGAATACGTAAAAGATACGATAAAAAGCAATATATCTTTTCTTGTGATACGACTATTTTTCAGGGCTTTCTCGTTTCCAGAGAATTACATTCATTTTGCTGTAGATAGGAATAAAAAGGAAAATAACAAAAAAAAAATACGAAAAGAAGATAAAGATATATGATTATCTTAGAAATTTAATACCGGAAGGTTGTGATTAATTACGTAAATTTTGAGTGAGAACTGTTTAGTGTTTTCGTTACAATACTCGAAATAAATAATTTCTCGTATTAAATTTCATTTCTGTAAGGTTTATGCATTATGTTTGAGTAGAGGTAGCTTTTTCATCTATAAATAAACAAATATACAAATACATGTTCGTTTCTTCTATATTCTATATGTAGAAGCGACATCCATTCTATATACGTAGAGTGGATATGCAGACTGTAGACGTTTCTTTCATCCCGGATGGTGGTTACGACTACGCTTTTGTGTTTGCAGGGGGTCCCAGATATATTTGGAACAAAGAGGATGAAAAAGATGGCGAGGTTTCTTGGCAGAGTTTTCGCTTATAACGCTTTCGAGAATCTACTGGAAAGAATCGCGTTTTTCAAATTAGTTTATTATCGAGCGTAAAATTAAATCGATGTTCATGCATGGCAGAGCAATGGAATATTCATCGAACAATCGGATAATTGGATAATTATTAATGATCAGAGTCGCGCGTGTATATGTAATCATTTATTCTTTCAGATTCACAAACGATTGAATTGGAGTAACTTTGACGATATTATTTAAAACGATAAAAGATGAATCTATTTAGTACAATCTTAGTAGAATCTTCCGCAAATTTTTATTTTTATTTTTGGGACTTTTGACGAAAACGTGAATTTAGAAAGCGATTTATAATCTTGAAAATACTTCTCGCCCAGCTAAGTCCAGAGTCGGTTTTTTCCAACAATTATCTGGCAAAAGAACAAAAAGAATTTTTCTATTTTTAGAACGAGGTCGCCTCTTTTCTTCAGCAGCCTTTTTCCTCTATATTTTCATCTTGTAAGTTATAGGATTTGTCGCATTTTTCCGCGAACGACAAGCTTGGCGATAAATCTTTTTTCAATTTCTACATCTCCGTTTACTGAAAATTTCTCGTATTATATCGCTTACATTCAATTCATTCTTTAAAATATACATTTACACAAAATTACAGAAAAATAAAAAAGAGACAAACAAGTAGATAAATAATCTCTTTTTACGAACAATAATATAGAATTAAAGAAACTACAATAAATTTGCTGATAAAAATAACGTAGTATCGATTGTATAGTTGATACGCATTATGCAAATGAACTCATGTTGAAGTTAAGTTACACAAAGTGAATTAATACGGATACAAAGTGAATTAAGTAATTAACTCACGGAAGAAAATAATTTGCGCGATCGCGCGCCAACAGTAAGAATGAAAAGTAACGTGGGATAATACCGGCGGAATATGTTAACATCCGTTTTATTCTATTAGGTGCGCAACTAAGTTATCGCTGTTATTTTCATGGCTTTTGCATCAAAATAACAGCGAGAACTTAGTTGCGCACTTAATAGATCCTGTCGAAAAAATTTTTCACATAAAAGTTTTCCATTGAACCAAGTCAATACGGTTAGTGTGCGATATATAGATATGTAAAAATTACATTATAGATATAATAAAAGCTTAGAGAGCTACCAGAGACACGATAGGCGCTAAGAAAAACGTTTTAGCGCGAGACAATAGCTCGATTAAACGTTTGCAGAAATGTAATTACTCTTTTTTTTTTTAAGAAATTGGTGACAAAATTATAAATCGGACAGAGAAAGGTTAATGACCTCGCGAAAAGCTTATAATATATCTTGACTTATTGTTGGGTACCCTAACTCGTGGAATATCTCAAGAGGGATTGTAACCTTAATGCGTTTCGAATTTGACTCGCCCTAACTAGAGACGGTCGCATCGTAGACACTTCGTTCTATGTAATGCTTTCGATTTGTCATAGTCGCGCACTCACGTGCCATTCTAACATATCGATTTCAACTAGTGTGTCTGATGAATATGAAAAACTCCTAATTGAGCTACCAATTTTATTCATTCAAAATTTTCACATAAGAAACATATTTATTTATTCAAAACTGAAAGTTTTCAATTTTAAATAAATATGAATTTTAAATTTTATTTATTATGAATATTTTATAGTTATTTTAGGAGTATTCGAACATATTTATTAATATTTATGAAAACAAAATGTAAATTAAAAAATTAGCTCCACATCAATAATAGCATTTTTTCCCTCAATCTGATAATTAGTAACCTCTATAATAAACATTTAGATAAGCTCTTGTGGTATATGGTCATTTATTTTATTATTTTTTTATACCAAATTCTGTTGTACTAGCTTTACTGTCCTATTTAAAATTTGAATTTGACTACAGGTTTATGAAGATGACCTTGTTTGTATCCTCCTCTTAGCAAGGTTGTCAGAGACTATAATTACTTGATATAAGCAGTTATAGTGACTCTAACTGCTTAATATAAGCATACTATAGAGCATGCATTTTCTTATAGTCTCGACTTACTTATAAACAAGCGTAGTTGCTTAACTGCTACAGTTCGTAAAATATTCTTTGCGAGTTTGGTTTAGGAAATACGATTATATCGAAGAGAAAATAAAGGCTATTGTTAATGTTTTACTAGGAAATATATTAAATAATGTAATTATATGGCTACAGAGTGGGAATGGATGCGAAATCAAAAATATTCGTAATCATATTTACAAATATATTCATTAAAATCAAATAAAAAGTATTTATT